GTCATGACGTGTACCTGTAGTCCCAGCTGCTCAGGAGGCTGAGGCAGGAGAGTGGCTTGAACCTGGGAGGCAGAGGTTGCAGTGAGCTGAGATTGCTCCACTGTACTCCAGCCTGGGCTGACAAAGTGACTCTGTCTCCAAAAAAAAAAAAAAAAAAAAAAAGGCTGATTGCAGTGGCTCACATTTATAAACCCAGCACTTTGGGAGGCTGAGGTTAGGAGTTCAAGACCAGCCTGGTCAATATGGTAAAACCCTGTGTCTATTTAAAAATAAAAAAATTAGCCCGGTGTGGTGTCATGCACCTGTAGTCCTAGGTACTTGAGAGGCTGAGGCAAGAGAATCGCTTGAACCCAGAGGTAGAGATTGTAGTGAGCCAAGATCATGCCACCATACTCCAGCCTGGGCAACAGAGAGTTTGTCCAAAAAGTAAAAGGAAATCTCAAGAATTTCTTACCAAATGACAATATGAATTAGAGACAAAAATTATACACTGGCAGGGTGTTGTGACCCACGGCTCTAGTCTTAGCACTTTGAGAGGCCGAGGCGGGTGGATCACTTGAGGTCAGGAGTTCGAGAGCAGCCTGGCCAACGTGGCAAAGCTCCGTCTCACTAAAAATATGAAAATTAGCCAGACGCGATGGTGCATGTCTGTAGTCCCTGCTACTTGGGAGACTGAGGCAGGAGAACTGCTTGAACTCGGGAGGCAGAGGTTGCAGTGAGCTGAGAACACACCACTGCACTCCAAGCCTGGCGACAGAGTGAGACTCCGTCTGAAAAAAAGATTACAGACTCTGGGTCTAAATTGCCTGCGTTTAAAGAACAGCTCTGGCCGGGCGTGGTGGCTCATGCCTGTAATCCTAGCACTTTGGGAGGCTGAGGTTGGTGGATCACCTGAGGTCAGGAGTTCAAGACCAGCCTGGCCACCATGGTGAAACCCCATCTTAAAAGAAAAAAAAAAAAGAACAGCTCTGCCACTGATTCACTTTGGAACTTCAGGCAAGCTCCTTCTCTGTGCCTGTTTCGTCACCTATGGGGATGAGAATGGTTTCTTGTAGATGACAGAGCCCTTTGAAGGGACGCATGCATGTTTATCTGCAGTGAGTGTTACTATTACTACTGCTATTTTTTTTTTTTTAGACAAAGTCTCGCTCTGTCAACTCACCCTGGCTGGAGTGCAATGGCGCAATCTCGGCTTGCTGCAACCTCCGTCTCCTGGGTTCAAGCGATTCTCCTGCCTTGGTCTCCTGAGTAGCTGGGATTACAGGCATGTGCCACCACTCCTGGCTAATTTTTGTATTTTTAGTAGGGATGGGGTTTCACCTTGTTGGTCAGGCTGGTTTGGAACTCCTGACCTTGCAATTCACCCACCTCAGCCTCCCAAAGTGCTGAGATTTACAGGTGTGAGCCACTGCGCCCGGCTTTGCAGTGGTATTATTGATCCCCAGAGAAGCTGTTGGGTGAGTGTGCTCACCTTTCAGAAAAAACAGAATGTGCATTTGGTTAAATCATTGAGTAAATACGGCTTCTTCTGTAGCTTCCAGTTTTCCAAAACGAGCTGCAAATTCATCATCACTTACTGTATGCACGTGGCTGGAAATCTGGCCAGCTGGGCTGGTGGCCCCGATGGCCTTGCCATCTTTGTCCGTGAGCTACTCACTGCAGAATTTCCCTTCAGGGACACAAGCACCCAGCTCACCCGTTTTCCACCTCACTTTCCCACACTATGGTGATTCTGGGTGAGAATATTTGGGGCTTGATTCACACTGCCTTGGTGGACAGAGAGGCCACCTTGCCCAAGCCTCCCAGGACTGATAATGGGATTAAATTTGTTGCCAAAGAACAAGCAGATCCCTTTCCAGAGTAGGGGAACAAATCTGTATTTACCCTCATTAGAAATTAGTATCAGCCAGGGACAGGGGCAAACATCTGTGATCCCAGCACCTGGGGAGGCCCAGGCAGGAGGATTGCCTGAAGTCAGGAGTTTGAGACCAGCCTGTACAATACAGTGAGAACCTGTCTCTACAAAAAATACAAAATTAGCCAGGCATGTGGCACATACCCAGCTTCTCCTGAGGCTGAGGTAGGAGGATCACTTGAGCCCAGAAGGTTGAGGCTTCAGTGAGCCATGATCGTACCACTGCACTGCAGCCTGGGCAACAGAGCATGACCCTGTCTCAAAGAGAAAGAAAAGAAAAGAAAAAAGAAATGAAATTAGACCAGGGGCCTGGCGTAGCTCACACCTGTAATCCCTGCACTTTTGGGAGGCCGAGGTCAGCAGAATCCTTGAGCTCAGGAGTTTGAGACCAGCCTGGGCAACAAAATGAGACCCAGTATCTACAAAAAATACACACTATTAGCTTGGCCTGGTGGCAGGCACCTCTGGTCCCAGCTACTTGGGAGGCTGTGGGGGGATCCCTTGAGCCTTCGAAGGTCGAGGATACAGTGAGCCAAGATTGTGCCACTGCACTCCATCCTGGGTGACAAAGACCCTGACTCAAAAAAGCAAAACCAAAAAAGTTTGTCTAAGCCTCTTTCACGTCTGGTGTGGCAGTTGTGGATATCTGGGCCCTCCTGGGTGCCTCTGCATTAGGTGGTTTGGTTGATGCCTTTGGAGAGAATCTGTCCTCTCTAGACCTGCGGGAGAACATGCTTTTGTGGCCTCTCGGGATCAGTGTGGCTGTTCTTTGATGCTGGACCAAAACTCCACCAGTCTTTCTTCAAGGTGAGCTGCAAGGAATCCGAGGTCCACCCATCAGTAAGAGTTTTCTCCTGGTATTCACAGAATCCACTGACCTGTCTCACTCTGGCCTTTGACCTAGGAAGGAGTTCCTAACATCGGTCGTTCGGACAGCCCCGATTTTGGTTTCCTGCCTTACTCGGGGCTCCCATATGTTGACCCGCTTCAGTTTTCAGTATTAGGAAATCAGTTTCTCCTCAGGAAGTAAACGTGGGAAGCTGTCAGGCTTTTAGTGGAAGATGAAAGTTTCCACATTTTACTTTTCATTAGACTATAAGTTTTACCATTGTCGGGAAGTTCTTTCCATTGTTCCCCTTGAAGTGGTGGGCTCGCCTCATTCCTGCCAAGACCCGGGTCCATGTACTTAAAGTGCTGCCCATCTATCCTCTGTGTGAGAATGTGCCCTGCAGAGTGTGGACCTTGGCATGTGCAGAAGCTGCGTGCACCACCGTCGGGTCCCTACACATGAGCAGTGTGGACCCCGGGCTGAGCCATGAATGTGAGAGCCGTCACAGAACTGTGATTGTTTTCTGTGATGTACTGTGTGGTGGGCATGTGCCAGCACTCGTGTGGCCCTGGCTGCTTTTGCACCCTTGGTGCATGCAACAAACGGCAGAGCAGCTCTGCCCAGCAGAAGTCATTTATTGGGTCTCAAGGGATCTGCAGACCCCCTGTGAGAGTAGCTTATTCTGAGAAGTGCTGAGCAGAGCCCAGCTGGAGTGGGGGAATGGGGGGCACACCATGTCCACATGTCCAATGCACTGTAGATCTCCTCGGTGGACAGCACGGCCACAGGACCTGGCCCCACTGGCTGGGCTCTGTCTCTCCCCAGCCCGTCTTTTGGCCAGTGCAAAACAGTCGAGTTTCACAGGGGCCTTGTGCAGATGAGAAGAGCCGTGTGATCTCACTGCCCACCTCTCGCCTCTCAGCTTCATTTCTGAAGTTTCTGGGGCCTCCCCCTGTGCCTGTTCACAGAGGGAGGGAAAGGGGGCTGGTATTTGGGGCTAGATAAGCAATACTGCAGTGATCTGCGTCTTCCTACGGATGCATCCCAGGCTTACCCTCGTACAGAGAACAAGCACAGAGGTAGGGAGGGGAGGGAGAAGCAGGGGAGCTGCTGAAGAGAAGGGGCCCGCCTTAAGATCCCAGATTTGGCCTTGAGGTGGGGGTTTCTGGGAAGCAGCTGGGGGCAGCAGGGCTGATTGATGTCCTATGGGAAAGTGGCCCCAGCATTTCCTTGGGATTCCCAGAGATGGTGCCTGACCGTGGGCAAGATGGGAAGCGTCTATCTACCCTGTTACTCTGGGCCCCAGGTCTGAAATTGCTGCCTTTGCCCATTCGCATGATACAGCTCTACCCAAACCCAGGACAGGTACCAGGCAGCTCTCAGGCGGTGCCGTGGGCCAGGCCAGGGGTGGCTGCGAGGAGACTCACCACTGCCAGATTCTAAGGAGTCAAAGCTGAGGGTGTTCCTGAAGTCGGCAGTTGTATTTTAGGTGTCCTAAAGGTCTTTGGTTTTTCCTTTTTTTTGGGGGGGGGGTGGCTGGGAGGGAGCAGCGTCTCACTCTGTCACCCAGGCTGGAGTGCAGTGGGGCATTCTTAGCTCACGGCAACCTCCGCCTCCTTGGTTCAAGCAATTGTCTGCTTCAGCCTCCTGAGTAGCTGGGATTGCAGATGTGCACCACCACGCCTGGCTAATTTTTGTATTTTTAGTAGAGACAGAGTTTCACCACGTTGGCTAGGTTGGTCTCGACTTGGCCTTAGGTGACCCACCAACCTCAGCCTCCCAGAGTGCTGGGATTACATGCATGAGCCGCCACCACGCCCAGCCGGCCTTTGGTTTTTCTGTTGTTTACTTGGTGTTCTCTTTAGTTCTGACACAGAAGTTTGCACAATTCCTTCTTTATAGATGAAGATAAAGAAGTTCACACAATCCTAGGCCAGGCGCGGTGGCTCACGCCTGTAATCCCAGCACTTTGGGAGGCCGAGGCAGGCAGATCACAACGCCAAGAGATCGAGACCATCCTGGCCAACATGGTGAAACCCCGTCTCTACTAAAAATACAAAAATTAGCTGGGTGTGGTGGTGCGCACCTTTAGTCCCAGCTACTTGGGAGGCTGAGGCAGGAGAATTGCTTGAACCCAGGAGGCGGAGATTGCAGTGAGCTGAGATCGCGCTACTGCACTCCAGCCTGGCATCTGGTGATGGAGTAAGACACTGTCTCAAAAAAAAAAAAGAAGTTCACACAATCCCTCTTTTATAGATGAAGAAACCAAGGCTTTGTAACTAACTCAACCCCGCAAGGAGGACAAAACTGGCACCAGAGCACCTTACTCCTGGATCTGGCAAGAATGCCTCTTGTTTGCTGAGAAGTCCACATATTTATCCAGCGCAAGAGTGGGAGATGAAAGGCGACCAGGTCAGTGCTAGCCTTTCTCTGAGCTCCTCTGAGTCTGGGCAGCTGAGGTGCTCCTCCGGGAATGTTCTGCCGTCCACGAGGCAGCGCAGGCCTGGAAGCTTTTGTTCCATTGAACTCTGCCAGGGAGCTATACTTAGCCACGCGAGTGGAGGCCAGGAGTGGGTTCTCTGAATATAGATAGTAGCAAAGCAGACTATTTTCAAACACTGAGAACCTCCCCGATTGTTCTGGGCCAAAATGATATTTATAGAATGCTTTGGGCTCCTGGACGCAAAGGCAATAACCCTAGTGCCTTTTGGCGTTCAGGAGAGAAGCTCCTTTCAACAGGGAGTGGGGTGAGGGATCTGCTCACCCAGAGGCCCGCCGTCCCTCAACACCTGTTTCCAGGAGGCCAGGCGTCCTCCTTACTTTTCCATTATGAATCAGAGAACAGCGAGAGGCACGCGGTGCCCTGCTGATTTTCCTTCCTGCACACCCTGTTGTGGGTCCTGTCTGAGGCCTGCCGTGTGCTATCAGGGAAGACGTCATCAGGGGACTTTTCCTGCTGTGAGGAGGGTGCAGCCCCTGCCTTTCAGAGCTCGGGACACCCTCTTACTCCTGTCAAGGATCCTCAGAGATGTCCTAGGCTTCCACTCTCAGCCAGACATCACTGGGCCATAACGAAACACCTACTTCCAATGTGCGCAGGTCCTGCAGCCTCCTGTCCATCCCTGCCCCACCTCCCACCCGGGAGAAAGACTGACAGTGTACCTGGAAGAGTTTGCTGGAAAGGCCTTCCCTAGGGAGGAGAGTGGAAATGGGACCAGTGAAGGTTAGGGTGGGAAGAGTAGGCCTGGGTCCTGAGAGGAGGAGCTGGCCAGGCCCCGAGCCCCCGGGAGCTGTGAGCAAAGCTGAGACACCCCCTTCCTGGTGCTCAAGCTGCAGGTGTTGGAGAGGGCCCCAGAAGCCCGGATTTTAAGTGACCGCCACAGGTTAACCTGAGGATGGTGAGGCAGAACAAGGAGAGGCCAGGCGGGAAGCAGGGCAGGGCAGGGCTAGTGGACAGTGTCCAGGGGTGTCCTGGGTGGGGCAGGCCGCCCACACTGCCTCTGCCTTGGGCTGGACCTAAGCGGAGTGGATCTTCCATTCATTACACCCCAGCCCCCCGGCATGTGCCCTGCCTTTCCTCTGCCCCTCTCTCTGCCAACCCATCCTCTCCCTCCCAGCCCCTGCCTGCCCAGATATAAATATAAGAGCATTTTCCATGGGCTGATACAGAAGGGAAAACATTCAGCCTTATTTTTGGCTTGTGAAATTCCTGTCCTTCATTCCCAACAGGTGCAACAGCCTCATTTAGATATTGGGGCCCAGAAATAGAACACAATTTACAATATAGCTTCCTTTAGGCATCTGGATGCTACTTGAGAAAAAAGCACTCCTGAGACATGCCGAGACAGCGCAAACCTTGGCTGGCGCTCTTGCCTTTTTCCAGGCCGGTGGAGCCCCTCAGAGCTGGCGGCCTGACCGTGAAGCAGAGGAGGCCAGAGCTGCAGGAGATGGGAGGGAGGGAGGGGGCCCTGGAGGACAGGCTCCTAGCCCCACTCCTCCTCAAGGCCTGGGCGCTGGCCTGTCCCCTGCCTTTGCCCTGATGGGGATGAGGGAGAGGAGATTGGGTCAGGGAGCAATTGTGGCCGTTGGGGAAGGTGACTTGGATGCAGCGTTTGAAGGAGATGCTGTTAGTAAATCCCATTGGTTAAGATTCACTGTCCCCCATGATCCTTCGTATTTGTGTGTGTGTGTGTGTGTGTGTGTTTTGTACAAGGTCTCGGTCTGTTGCCCGGGCTGGAGTGCAGTGGTATGATCTTGGCCCACTGCATCCTCCACCTCCTGGGCACAAGCAGCCCTCCTGCGTCAGCCTCCTGATTAGCTCAGACTACAGGCGTGTGCCACCACACCCAGCTAATTTTGTTGTATTGTTAGTAGAGACAGAGTTTTGCCATGTTGCTCAGGCTGGTCTCAAACTCCTGGGCTCAAGTGATTTGCCTGCCTTGGCCTCCCACAGTGCTGGGATTATAGGTGTGAACCCCCGCCCCCCGCCCTCGTGATGGACTGAGGGAAAAAGAAGAGGGTGAGGAGCCCCTCTCCTCAGCACTGAATGCAAGTACCCTCAAGGCAGCTCTTGGCAAAGCCCTGTGTTCCCATTGGCTGTTGAGGTTGGGTGGTGTCCCCCAACTTCTGTGTGTTAAAGTTCTAATTCTCAGGATCTCCGAACCCGACCATACTTGGAAATAGAGTCTTTGCAGATGTGATGAGTTGAGATAGGGGCTTACAGGAGCAGGGCAGTATGACTGCACCCTCATAAGAAGAGGGGACACAGAAACAGACACAGGGAGACGCCACCAGAAGCCAAGGCTCACTAGCGGCTTCCAAAGCTTCCAGAAAGCCTGGAGCAGTCCCGCGCCCCAAAGGAACCAGGCCTGCCACAGGTGCAGTTGGACCTGCAGCATCCAGCCTCCAGAACGGGGGGAGGACAAGACACTGTTGTTTCAGCCACACAGGTTGGGGTCCTCTGTTACGGGAGCAGAGTGGGTGCTTCCCGCCAGGGACAGCCAATCCCTGCAGGGGAGGCAGTGGTCCCCATCCAGCAACGTGACAGAGGCTTTCTCAGAGAGCGTCTTCATTCCGCCAGTTCACGTGGAAGCCGGTAGCGGCTGGAGCTTAGAGGAGCCCAAGGTCTAGGTCAGGTTTCCTCTGGATGTACTAGGGCCCGTCAACACCAGGTCAGGGTTAGCCAGGCTAGTCTGCAGGTGAGGATGGCCCAGGATGGAATGGAGCAGCCGAGTAACGAGGTGCCCAGTGTGTGCTCCCTGTGAGTCCTCCTGAATATTCCCATGGACGGATGGATGGACAGCAGGCTCAGTGGGCTCAGGGGATCGAGGGGAGCCCTTGCTGCCCTCCATGTGGCACCATCCCAGGACCAGGACGAAGAAGTCTGGTTAAGGCCAGAAGCAGAGCAGCTCACAGCAGGCCAGCCCTCCTGAGGAACAGGTGTCCTGTCCCAGAAACCCCCCTCCCACCATCCTTATCAGCGAAGGTGTCAGGGACTGGGAGGGGCCTCCTTGCTGCTTCCTGGATGCCCCCTGGGGTTGAGCTGGAGAGGTGGAGACGTGCTGAGGAGGACCAGCCCAGTGGGCGGCCGCCCAGCAGCTCAGCAGTGAGAAGAGGCCACGTGTAAGAAGGAAATGCCATCACCACACTGGACAATGGGAGCAGAACTCCAGGGAGGGGGTCTTACCTGTAGGCAGCCTTGCGGATTTGACAGTGTCTCAGCAGAGCAGGGCACTGGTCTGGGACTCTGGTCCACAGCTGTCCCCAGCACGTAGGGAAAGCTGCCCCAGGTACCATGGGTGGACAGAAGCACAGACCCTCCACAAGATGGCAGTGGTCATGTCAGACCCTAGTAGCACTTGAGGGCTGCAGCAGGAGCCTCGAGTCCCCTCTTCTGACCAGGCAGCCAGGAGGACTTGCTGCCCCTGCACCCAGCCGCCTGCTGCCTGCCCAGCTTTGGTCTCCGCCTAGTGCCCCGAGAGAGCCTTCTTCCTAGCCCGGGATAGAACCTCTCAGCCGTTCCTCTGTGCCATGGATGCTTTCCCACTTCTGCGTGGTTTCCACCTGTGACGGTGCCCCTGCTTTCCGGATGGCAGTGTCCCCACCTCTCAGAAGAGTGTTTCACAGTGGCAGGCTCTGACCTACTCAGTCTCCCACCTACTCAGTGGCTAAACGGCCCAGGCGATCCCCGAATCCTGCTACCTCGAATTTCTCAGAGTCCCACGTCCTCCACAGAACCAGAGGATTGGCCAAGACTCAAAGCTTTGAATAATGGAACAAGCAGGTGTGCAGAGACCTTTTATTACCCCACGGCTGTTCTTGCCTGGGAAGCTGAGTGCCCTGAGGCTCTGAGCAGGACAAATCCCAGAGGCACAGGTCCAGGGCATTTCACCTCATCCCAACGCACCCAGACCACCAATCGTGGGCTCTTCCAGTCCTGCTCGATCTTCAAGAGAGTCTAGTGAGGTGGGGAGGGCACGTGTGTGTAGGTGTGTGACACGGGACAGCTTGTCCAGACCCCACACCAAAGTCTGGTGGGGGCCACCTGGGAGGTAGTTGTGCCTTCTGAGGATGGACCGCACAGCTGTGCCCACCACAAGTCAGAACTGTTCGTTTCTGCTGCAAGGGAACGAGGCAGCCTCTCGAGTCAGCTGGCGGCACTGCCAACCCATGCAGGTGACCACCCCCACAGGCCCTGACTCTCGGAAGGCAGACCCAGAGACGTGACCACGATGCAGGCCTCTGGCAGCTGTTTCTGGACAGTGAAAGGCAGGTGGTTGGTGGGGGTGGCCCCGTCCAGCGGAATCCAGAGCAGGGGTCACAATGCAGTGGAAACCGGGCTCTTGTTCTGATGAAAGTCTTCCCTGGGAGAGGAGTCTCCTCTGAGTGGGGCTCAGTGGAGTTGGCTGCGTGGATATGTTCTCCGCCCCGGTGGCCCCTGCTGGACTTCTTTGGTTATGATTGGACACAGATGTGGCGGATGCACCAGGTGTGAGGCTGAGCCCTGTCCTCCCAGACTCGCGGCTCCTCTGGCAGCAGGAGAGACACCATCTCTCAGGGTGAGGCCCATTCCTCCTACCTGCGCCAACCACGCGTCTCTCAGGGACCAGGGCAGCAGCCAGACTCCTCGTGCCGCGCCAGGAGGGACATGCGGGAGAAGGTCTTGGTGCAGCGCGGGCACTGGTACTTCTTGGTGTCAGAGTGCGTTTGAAGATGGGCCCGAAGGTTGGAACGGTCGGCAAAGGCCCTGCTGCAGTGCGAGCAGGCATAAGGCTTCTCCCCTGTGGGAGGAAGAAGGGGGTCAATGAGTGGCCCTCGGGGTGGTGACACCATGGAAGGGGGCTTGAAGGCTACAGCACCCACTCTGACCATCAGTGGATGATCCCATCCCTTCCCTACATATGCTCACAGCCCGAGCACCCAAGGTTGAACTGTGTGGGGACCGGGTGGCACACCTGGGTGAGACCACACCGCCTGAAGCCCCTTCCAGGAGCACAGGAGCCACAGGCGCTGGATCTGCCATTGTTGCTGCAATAGCCCTTCTGGGGGCCTTGGCCGCTGGGAGAGGATGGGGGAAGTCCTAGGGGCCTCTGGCAGCTGTTTCTGGCCAGTGAAAGGCAGGTGGTTGGCGGGGGGTGGCCCCGTCCAGCGGAATCCAGAGCAGGGGTGGAGCCATGGTCCTTGAGGGGACAGCTTTTAGGGACCACCTCCCATCAGGACAATGGGAGATCTGGACAAAGGCCTGTTGGGATCTTTGTGCCCAACCCATGTAAAGGGAAGGGTGACTGGGAATCGTCTGTTCAGTCCTGTAGCCCCATAGAGTCCTAAAAGACCCCAGCCTATAGCCCCTGAGGGGCCCAGAGCACCTGCATTCCTGCTGGTGGGACACTGGGCATGCTCCTGGCCAGGCCAGCCTCCTGCAGGACCTCCCACACTCCTTACTCCCAGGCTGAGGGCACCAAGCCCCAACAGGCTCCCACCTGGGTGTGGCCCGGGGTCCTTTGGCCTGGAAGGCAGGTGTTTGGGGGGTGTTCTCATCAAAGGGCTGGGAAAACCAGAGTGCATTTCTCAGAGACCTGGAAAAAGCCTTCCCTCTGGCCTGTACCCAGGTGTGACTGAAGGTCCCAGTCACAAGAGTCATGACTTAAGGGCTAGGGAACCTCCAGTTAGGAAAAGTGTCAACTAGAGCCGGGTGCAGTGTTCACGCCTGTAATCACAGCACTTTGGGAGGCCGAGACAGGTTGATCACGAGGTCAGGAGTTCAAAACCAGCCTGGCCAAGATGGTGAAACCCCATCTCTACTAAAAATACAAAAATTAGCCAGGCATGTTGGCAGGCACCTGTAATCCCAGCTACCCAGGAGGCTGAGGCAGAGAATTGCTTGAACCCAGGAGGCAGAGGTTGCAGTGAGCCGAGATTGTGCCACTGCCCTCTAGCTTGGGCAACAGAGTGAGACTCCATCTCAAAAGAAAAGAAGTGTGAACTAGTCGGGTGCAGTGGCTCACACCTGTAATCCCAGCACTTTGGGAGGCCAAGGCGGGAAGACAGATTGAGCCCAGGAGTTCAAGACCAGCCTGGGCAACACAGCAAAACCCTTGTTTCTACAAATAATTTAAAAACTGGCTGAGCATGGTGATGCACATCTGTGGTCCCAGCTACTCAGGTGGCTGAAGCAGGAGAATCACTTGAACTCAGGCAGTCAGAGCTCCAGCAAGCTGTGATCAAACCACTGCACTCCAGCCTGAGCAACAGAGCCAGACCCCGTCTCAGACCACAAAGAAAATGTGTGAGCCTCTGGGCCTGATGTGGAGACTGGAGCTGATTCCTGGAGCTCGTTCTTCCTTTCTGTGTTTATTTTTTGCATGCTGAGGTTGACGGGAAGCCCTGGGTGGAGGACACTGGCTGGCTCTTCGGCCACTTGTGTACTCTAAGACATTATTTTGTTGATTTTATTTATTTTTTTGGAGACTGAGTCTCAGTCTGTTGCTCAGGCTGGAGTGCCGTGGCTACCATCTCTGCTCACTGCCATCTTTGCCTCCTGGGTTCAAGCATTTCTCCTGCTTCAGTCTCCCGAGTACCTGGGATTACAGGTGTCCACCACCACACCTGGCTAATTTTTGTATTTTTAGTAGAGCCAGGGTTTCACTATGTTGGCCAGGCTGGTGTTGAACTCATGACCTCAGGTGATCCACCTGCCTCAACCTCCCAAAGTGCTGGGATTATAGGTGTGAGCCACGGTGCCTGGCCATGTTTTGTTTTTTGTTTTGAGTTGGGGTCTTGCTCTGTTGCCCAGGCTGGAGTGCAGTGACATGACCACAGCTCACTGCAGCCTCAGTGAGAGGCACAGTGGCTTCAGTCATCCGTGAGCCACCGTGTCCCTCCTGGGCTTCAGTCATCCTCCTGCCTCAGCCTCCCAAGTAGCTGGGACTACCACCACGTGCCACCACACTTAGCTAAGTTTCTGTTTTTAGTAGAGATTGGGGTCTTGCTATGTTGGCCAGGCTGGTCCTGAACTCCTGGCCTTAAGTGATCCTCCTGCTTCAACCTCCCAAAATGCTGCCATTACAGGTGTGGCTCCCACGCTGGCCCCTGCTAACACCTGGATTTTGGACTTCTGGCCTCTGGTCTGTGGGACTTTGTGTAGCAGCCCGGGGAGCAGGTAAGTCAGGAGGCAGAAGCCAAATGTGAATCCAGTGCCAGTGTTTCTAAAATCACCCCTCCTCCTCTTACGCCCAGCCCAGGCTGTCCTTGTAGACCTCAGCCCACCCTACCTGTGTGGGTGCGGACGTGGCCCTGCAGCAGCCAGGGCCTGGAGAAGGCCTTGCCGCAGATCGTGCAGGCGCAGGGCAGCGTGTGGGTGCGGATGTGCATCTTGAGGGCGCCCAGGCTGGTGTACTCCTTGTCGCAGTACCTGCAGGTGAACACGCGCCCTGCCTGCAGGTGGCAGTGCAGCTGCTGGTGCCGGGCCAGCCCGGCCAGTGTGTGGTAGGGCTTGCGGCAGTGGAGGCACTCAAAGCCACCTGGGGCTCGGGGCATCCGCTCAGCCCCAAGCAGTTTTTCTGGAGCCCCGTCCTGGTCTGGGCTCAGGATTGGGGACCACCGTGTGGGCAGCACCAGCAGTGGGGGCAGGTTGAGGTGGTTCAGACTGTCTTTGAGGGGTACACTGGGGGCCCGGCTGGCCCGAGGGTCAACCCCACTGACTTCCAGAGCATCTGGTTCTGAGGCCCCCAGAGCTTCCTCGAGCTGTGGCAGGAGGGGCAGGGAAATGCAGGCGAAGGCCGAGGAGCGGTCCCAGGGCTGGGGAAGGTCACCAGGCACAGAAGGGGCCTCCTTGTCTTGGGGGAGAAGGGGCACCACTAGCCCCCGACAGGCAGAGCAGGCGCCATTGATTTCTAGAAGGGTAGAGGGGACATAAAATATAAAGATGAAGACCCACTGAGTGCCCAGCACTTGGTGTTTTCCAGTTCCGGTTCACGGCCCTGATCCCAGCCTATCGGCAGCCCGGCAGCGCAGGAGGAGTGGCGGGGAGCCAGAGTGCAGACCCAGCTTGCAAAGGAGCTGACGGTGCTGTGCAGGGAAGTGACGGCGTGGCCAGGAGCGCAGGTATCTAGAACTAAAAGGCCTCACGGTCTAGAGAGAATCTCACTTCCTCTTTAAACGCAAAGAAGAAAAACATCTCATGGGACCCCTGGGGTTCAGGAACATGAAACAGACCTCGTGGGACAAAGGAGGGCCCTTTAGGCCTCAGCTGGGTGGCACCTCCGATAAGCCCCCACCCACCTCTGGAGGGGCACCAGCCTGGCTCAGCGTCCTCCAGGCGCCCACGAGGCAGCCGTAAGTCAGACGCTTGGCAGTAAGGTGCCAGCTCAATATAAAATCTGCCTCCGCAAGGTGCCAGCTGAGTGTAAAATCCGCCCCCTCACAACTCATCATCCTCCAGTCACCCCACAGTCGCCCCTTGGGCATCCCCTTTTGTGGATAATGAGGCAGTGAGCTCAGAAGGTTCCCTGGAGCTGGCTCGTGCCCACTCTGCTGCTCTCTTAACACAGCCGAGCCACATGGCTGGGGTGCTCTGGCCGGGGCTTTCAGAATTACCCCTGGCTGGGCTCCTCCCCAGGACGGTCGTTCCTGTGTTTGGGGGCTGGTACACCGCACGCCACATGGTTGATGCATTTAAGGGCAGCAGCCCCCAAATAAACAGGTTAGTCTGCAGATAAGAGTTAAATTAATTCTGGATTTCCGCAGGCCAAACCCTCCCAACAGCCCTCAATCCCTTTCTTAGTCTGTATGTGTTAAAATAGATTTCTGGCGCTGTTTCTACCTCCACGCTGAGGCTTTGGGTAGAGAAAGGCAACCCATAGAATAAGAGAAAATCTTTCCAAGTCAGACTTCTGATCAGGAATAGCATGTAGAATGCTAGAACATATTAAGGATTTTACTTGTCAACAATAAAAAGACATAATACAATTTTAATATGGGCAAACGATTTTTTTTTTTTTTGAGATTGAGTCTTGCTCTGCCGCCAGGCTGGAGTGCAGTGGCACAATCTCGGCTCACAGCAACTTCCGCCTCCCAGGTTCAATTGATTCTCCTGTCTCAGCCTCCCAAGTAGCTGGGATTACAGACATGCACCACCACACCTGGCTAATTTTTTTTTTTTTTTTTTTTTTTTTTTTTTTTTTTT